GAAGGCTATGGAGAATGGCCCAGCTGCTTGGGTCCCTGCTACCCGTGAGAGACCCAGTGGAGCTCCTGGCTCCTAGCTTCAGCTTGGTCCAGCCCTGGCTGTCGGGGAGTGAACCAGCGGATGGAAAATTCTCTCTCTCTCTAGCTGCCTTTCAAATAAATAAGTAAATCTTTTTTAAAAATACATTTAAATAAACCATATTTAAGGTATGAAACAAATGTGTGTCATCAGGGACTCAGTGGCAGGCATTTAGCCTAGTGGTTTTTTTTGTTTGTTTTTTGTTTTTTGACAGGCAGGGTTAGACACTGAGAGAGACAGAGAGAGACAGAGACAGAGACAGAGAGAAAGGTCTTCCTTCCGTTGGTTCACCTCCCAAATGGCTGCTATGGCTGGCGCACTGCGCCGATCCGAAGCCAGGAGCCAGGTGCTTCCTCCTGGTCTCCCATGTGGGTGCAGGGCCCAAGCACTTGGGCCATCCTCCACTGCACTCCCGGACCACAGCAGAGAGCTGGACTGGAAGAGGAGCAACTGGGACAGAATCCATCGCCCTAACTGGGACTAGAACCCAGGGTGCCAGCACCGCAAGGTGGAGGATCAGCCAAGTGAGCCAAGGCGCCGGCCTTTTTTTTTTTTTTTTTAGCCTAGTGGTTAAGATACTGGTTAATACACTAGAATCCTAGGCTAGCACCGTGAAGTAGCGAGTAAAGCCACCACCTGCAGTGCCGGCATCCCATGTGGGCCCCAGTTCCAGTCCTGGCTGCTCCACTTTCAATCCAGCTCCCTGCTAATGTGCCTGGGAAAGCAATGGAAGATGGCCCGAGTCCTTGGGCCCCTGCACCCCTGTGGGAGACCTGGAAGAAGCTCCTGGATCCTGGCTCTGGATTGGCCCAGCACCTTTGGCCATTGCAGCCATTTGGGGAGTGAACCAATGGATGGAAGATCTCATTTTGTCTGTCTGTCTGTCTGTCTGTCTGTCTCTCTCTCTAACTCTGCCCTTCAAATAAATAAATCTTAAAAAAAAAAAAAAAAAAGTAAGCAAGCAAGCAAGCAGGGGAAGATGATTAAGTATTTGGGCCCCTGTCACTCACATGCCAAATGTAACACCTGGCTTCAGCCTGGCCTAGCTTTGGGGAGTCAACCAGTAGATGGAAGATCTCTCTTTTTTCCCCTCTCTCACTCTGTCACTCTGCCTTTCAAAGAAATAAAATAAATCTTAAAAAAAAAAAAAAAGTGCCATTTGGGCAGCCACATCCCATAACAGAGTACTTGGATTAGGGTTCCACTCCATTTCCAATCCATCTATCCATCTTCCTCTTTTTTTTTTTTTTTTTTTTTTTGGACAGGCAGAGTGGACAGTGAGAGAGAGAAAGGTCTTCCTTTGCTGTTGGTTCACCCTCCAATGGCCACCGCGGCCGGCGCACCACGCTGATCCGATGGCAGGAGCCAGGTACTTATCCTGGTCTCCCATGGGGTGCAGGGCCCAAGCACCTGGGCCATCCTCCACTGCACTCCCTGGTCACAGCAGAGAGCTGGCCTGGAAGAGGGGCAACCAGGACAGAATCCGGCACCCCGACCGGGACTAGAACCCGGTGTGCCAGCGCTGCAAGGCGGTGGATTAGCCTAGTGAGCCGCGGTGCCGGCCTCCATCTTCCTCCTAATGTGCACACTGGAAGCAGCAAATGATGGCTCAAGTGCTTTCGTCCCTGACATGAATGTAGAAGACCCAGGTGGAGTTCCTGGCTTCAGTCCAGCCCAGCCCTGGCTATTGCAGGCGCTTAGAGAATGAGCCAGTGGATAAAAGACCTCTCTCACTCCTTCTCTGTCTGTCTCTCTCAGTCTTTCTGCCTTTCAAATAAAGAAATGAGAGACTATCTTATTTTTAAAAAGAGAAGAATACTAAAGGGAGGAGCCAGCTCTGGGGCGCCAGCATCCCCTATGGGCACCAGTTCAAGTACCAGCTGCTCCACTTCTGATCCAGCTCTCTGCTGTGGCCTGGGAAAGCAGCAGAAGATGGCCCAAGTCCTTGGGTCCCTGCACCCACATGGGAGACCCGGAGGAACCTCCTGGCTCCTGGCTTCAGACTGGCACAGCTCCAGCTGATGCGGCTATCTAGGGAGTGAACTAGCAGATGGAAAACCTCTCTTTCTGTCTCTCCCTCTCACTGTGGCTCTCCCTCTCAAATAAATAAATAAAATCTTGAAAAAAAAAAATAAAGGGAATCTTCACGGTGAAATGAAAGGATACTAGGCAGTCATTCTAATCCACATGAAGAAATAAAGAGCACCAGTAAAGTTAACCATATACTTAAATACAAAGATATTTTCGTGTAATTTTGTCTATAACTGTTTTTCTCCTATCATATTTAAAAGGCAACTGTATAAAACAATCATTGTAGACCTATGTTAATAGGAATACACTGAAGAAATGTGATTCATATGATAAGAGCACAAAGGAGGATTTAGGAAAATAAAGCTGGACATCATTTGTATACTGTTAAAACTAAGCTGTTATTAACCCACAATAGAGTACTATAAATTAAGAATTTATTGCAATCTCAAAAGAATTAAAATAGCACACTAGAAATATTTATTTAACATAAATAGACAACAGTAATGGTGGAAGGGGGAAAAGGTATACAGAGAATAAATATCAAACGGCAGGTATAAATACTAGCTTATCAGTAATTAGACTAAGTGAAAATGGGGCCGGCGCTGTGGCATAGCAGGTAAAGCTGCTGCCTGCAGTGCTGACATCTCATATGGGCGCCAGCTCAAATCCCAGCTGCTCCACTTCCGTTCCAGATCTCTGCTATTGCCTGGGAAAGCAGAATATGGCCCAGGTGCTTGGGGCCCTGCACCCACGTGGGCGACCTGGAAGAAACTCCTGGCTCCTGGCTTCAGATTAGCCCAGCTCCAACCGTGCAGCCATCTGGGGAGTGAACCAGCAGATGGACAATCTCTCTCTATCTCTGCCTCTCTGTAACTCTGCCTTTCAAATAAATAAATAAATCTTAAAAAAAAAATCCACAACAGGCACATCCACAGAGACAGACCCTCATGATTGCCAGAGGTTGGTGCAGGCTAAATCATGAGCAGCTGGCAGTGAGCACGGGTTTCTTTTTGGGTGATGAGAACAGTCTGGGATTAGAGAGTGGTAACCGTTGTGTAACTTTGTGAATATATAAAAATCACTGAGCTATGCACTATTAAAAGGTGAGTTTTAGGATCTGTGAGTTATATCTCCATTCTAAAGATGTAAATTAAATAATGGGTGAAGCCAGGAGCTCAGAACTCCAACAGGGTCTCCCTTGTGAGTGGCAGGGGCCCCAGTCCTCGGGCCATCTTCCACTGTTTTCCCAGGTACATTGGTAGGGAGCTGGATTGGAAGTGGAGCAGCTGGGGCGCAAACGGGCACTCAGCCCCTATCACTGTATTCTTTTAAGTAGGAATTGTTTCAGGGGAGAGTAGATGGGAAAGAACCTGAGAGATTCTATGCCTCTCTCTCACTTTTGTTCTCTAGGGAAAAACCACTAGCATCCCGGAGGGTGCAGTGAAGACCTGGAAGATCCCAGGTGGGGAGCTCAGAAAGCCAAACACAGATTCCATAAGCAATATTGCAAGCCTACTCTCCTTATTAATTTGAACATTTTTAAGTTTTTAGTTGTGGTTAAAACACACATAACATAAAGCTTATCATTTTAACCACACAATAAGATTTTGACTGTCACCTCTGCATTTGATGTTTTCCCCCCAAATCTCCCCCAGGGGCCATCTCCTCGTGGTCAACCTCATGGTTTGAACACTACTTCCTCAAAGAGGCCTTCTTTTAACAACAGGAGTAAAAAGTTTCTCTCCCACCCCAGTCACTTTGTCTTCTTCCCCCACCCCCAAGCACTCTCCACTATTTGACAATTTGGGTCTGTGGGCTTATTGATTATTTCCTCCATCCCCTACAATAAATAGCCATTCTCCCAAAGCAGGGGCCTCCCTGGTCCACCTGCTCTTCTCCACAGCCTAGAACAGTGCTTAGCACACGGTGAGCCCTATTACGTCTTGTGAAAGCACTTATTGAGTAAAAAATACATATATTACACACACATACAAACACACATCTATAGTGTTAATTCCCTAGCAGTTTCATGTATCTCCCTTGCTTACTGCAACTCTGAGTAAAATGGGATCCTAGCCCTACTGTGGAAAAAGCGTTTGGTCCAAGGCCAGGGGGCCATTACATGGCAGCGGGTGGACCGCGCAGGAGGGCTGCTTTTCCCAAAGCATTCCACTCCAGTTCCAAGACTAGGGGCATTTTAAGTGACTCTGCCCTTAAGCCTATGAGGACCCTGAAAGGCAGTAGAAACGACCAGCACATGCTTTTTTAAGTAGCCATTTCCTGGGTTGAATGAACCCTTACCTCTCCCTCCCTTCCCTCCATCCCCCACCGCACATTGAGCTGCCACAGGGTGGGCACTCTACGTGCAAACAAGAGCACACAACTACTCACCCGTTTGGGACCCTGAGTACCCGCCTCGCCTCCGCCCCAACCCTTTATACAACTTGGCCGAGGTATAACCTTGTCTCGTTTTAAAAATGTGCTCCTTTGACACATCTCATACCCCACTGTTTGCATCTCCACCACGACATGCACCTGTCAAGGCTCCCTCTCCTCCCGTTTCCTTTCTTTGCCGTCCCCCGGCCCCCCGACACACACACACACACACACACACAGCCCGGATTCCACAGCCGAACACGTGTGGCCTGTGTGTACAGAACTCGCTCAGCCGCCCTCGCCAGCCCGGCCCACAGCAAGCCCCGCCCCTCGGCCCCTCTCCAACTCAGCCCCCACAGATCTCGCCCTTCCCCACCTCCACCCCCCACTTCTCGCGAGAGGTGAGCGCGTCTGGCCGGACGGGAGGAAAGTATCTGCTCCGCTGAGGGGGGAAAGAAGGAGCTGGAGACAGATTGTGGGACCGAGCGCGGGCGGGCGGGAGGCGTCGGAGCTACCAGCGGGTGAGTCCTGTTCACGTTAGCTAGTCCATGATCTGACGGGAGTCTCCCCTTCAACTCTGGCCAGTCACGGCGTCCCGGGCCGGGGTCTCCCCTCCCAGTCTGTGTTGGACGGGGGCGCTGAGGCGGTGGCCGGGCCCTGTCTGAGGAAGAGGGTGGGGCGTAGACTAAGCGCGGCCAATAAGAGAAAGGGCAGCCACGATTGGCGGCGGTGAGCGCTAATGGGAGGTCGAGTTTACCTCGCGGAGTGACGCCCCTCTTCGCTCCCTCCTCCCGCCTCCTTCCTTTGGGGGGGAAGGCGGGGCCAGAGGCCTGAAGTGTGGGGAGAACTTGGGGTAAGTAGCCCCGGGGGGCACAGGGCGTGGCATGCAGGGGGCACTTGAATCCTGTGGGAAAGGTGTTCCAGCGGAGCCTAATGGAAGGGTCCTGGAAATGGGAGGAAGAGGAAGGGCAGCGAACCAGACCCAAGGGCTTCCCCAAGAGTGGGGTTAGAGGCTTTGGCGTTGGAAAAGGCAGAAGTAATAGCCAGGAAGTAGGAATAAGTAGGTGAGAACCAGGATCCTGATCAGGTGGAGACAGGCGCTGGATCTGACTGGAGAGATCGGGGTTAGTGATTGCAAACGAGGGTCGTAGCGTTTCTGTCGAGTTCATCAGAAGAGTGTCGGGGATGCGACGTGGGCAAGAAAGTAGGGGTTTGGAGAAAATGAAGTGAATGAGTTGAAGAAGGGGTGTGGGTGGGCTGAGCTGGCCAGGAGGCACGGCGGTGGGCAGGCTCTGAGAGCTGAGAGGAGTTGGGGGCGGTGTTTGGCTACAGCCAGGTGTCCCGGGCAGGCCGGGACCCGGGGATCTGGCCCCCCGACGGGTGCCCCGCCTGCAGGAACGCGGGCACAGCGGGAGAGGAGAGAAACGGGGCGCTTGCACCCCTCCTCCTCCTCTCCCCGCTTCCAGACTCACAAGGGGACGTGGGCTCGGGACTCAGTCCCGGGGGGGGCCTCCACGCCGCTCGGGGTTGCTTGTTGTGTTCTCGGGCTGCAGTGTTTACTCCCCGGCGCACCTCCTACCCAGACTCCCGCCTCGCTCCTTTCCTAACTTCAGCCGTTGGTTTCCCGTGAGCAGAGCTTGGTTTAGCCCTGTCACCTTACGCCTGGGTTCGTAGCTGGTGTGCAGAGTTTTCCCCGCAAGTTCTTTCAATTCCCACGCTTACATTTTTTGCAGTAGTGCAATGCCTGTAGAAGCATCAGTCCTTACAGACATTGGAAGCACAAAGACACTAAAATTAAGTTTGTTTTGTTAAAAGTATCTTCTTCATGCGTTCTTGAAGAGTTGTTAAATGGATGGCTGCAGTCCGTTTATCTGTATTTTTTTAACGGTGTAAATAAAATAGACGCGTGTTTCAGGAAAGTGGAAATTTCTCAGTTTCTTCCTTTGTGTTTAGACTCAGAAACTGAAGATATGTCATAATATGTTAGGGTGAGGGTTTGGGAAATCAAACACAATTTGTACTTAAACATGGAGAGTGCAAGGTAAGTGGAGGCTGTTGCGAAATGTACCGTGTTTGTAAGAAAAGAAGCTAAAGAAGAGTTTGGCAGCTGTGCTAAGTAGTCTTACCAGTTTGTTCTTAATTCTGTACAGAAAAAGGAAAGGCCTTTGCCCTTTGTGTATCGTTTAATAATGCACTAGACTAATAGCAGCCGATTAATTGTTTTTGCTGTGGCATAGATTTTTCTTTTGCATTCCTTCTCTACTTTTACTTCTGAGAAGTAAAATAATATCTGAAATAGCAGTAAAGGTATTATATGAAGAGAGACCAGATGATGTAGTTTTGTAATAACTTTCGATTTTCAGCAGCCAATTGAAGCTTTTGCTCCTGGTAGGAAGTTGCCCCTACAGCACATTGAGACCAATTAATTCCTGACCCCTTAGCTACTGAGTTGGGCTAGTATTTTACATTAAGAGCTTTGCTATTGAACATTCAGAACATTTTCACCATTTGCCTGACACATTAAAAAAAAAAAAATCCAATGAGAGAGCAAAGTCCCTTGCTTTTGGTCTTCCAGAGACTTTCTGATGGCTTTGACTTGGGCACTGTTAAGTGTATTAAGTACGAGATTTTGTTTTTCTCACTAATGTTGCCGTCAGGTAGAAAGCTAGAGAGAGCTGCTCATTTTTCAACTTGTGGATCGAAGTTTACGCTCTGCGATAGTGTCAGTGTTGTTAAACACCTCTGGTTTTCCTGACTTTAACACATCAACGCCTACCATTTCCATGTCTCACTCTCTTTCCTCGCTTCTAACCCAAAATGAAAATTATTTTTTCAACCAACTCTTAACGCTACTACTTTGCCTCAATGTGCAGTCCACGACTCTGGTCAACCACAGCTGCTCTGAAATCCTCGCAAGTTGTTGCTTTCTGCGGGTCAAGACTGAGCTTCCCCCAGGCTGCAGTGGGAGGGAGTCGTGTTCCACGGCGGCGGGCATCCCTGTCCGATATGGAGGAGCCGCCTCCTTCAAGGAAGTCTTAGGTGGGGCAAATGGCTCTGCCATGCAAATGACGGAGAGCGCTCTCCTTGCACTGTTGGGCAGGCTGGCCTGTAGCTGCCCATGTCTCTTGACAAAGGTACTGCAGATGCAGATGTTGTTTCTTTGAGGGAAAATCAAATGCAGCATTCATTAAAAAAGAAAAAAAATGTTAATTTTGTTGTTGTTGGTTTCTCTGAAAATGGGTCTATGACTTTGGAGTTCATGAAAAGTCTTCTGTCTCTTTAAAAACATGTCATAGAAAACAATTGTAAGATTCTCTGATGTGCACTCATTTTTAAATGTTCTCTTCCGAGGCTGGTGTTGTGGCATACCAGGTTAAGCCGCTGCCTGTGACACTGGCATCCCATATGGGTGCCAGTTTGAGTCCTGGCTGCTCTACTTCTGGTTCCAGTCCCTGCTAATGCCTGGGAAAGCAGCACAAGATGGCCTAGGTCCCTTGGCCCCTGCACCCACCTGGGGGACCTGGAAGAAGCTCCTAGTTCCTGGCTCTGGCCTAATTTGCCCTGGTCATTGCCACCAGCTGTGGAGTAAATAAATGGATGGAAGATTCCCTCTCTCTGTTTTTCCCTCTCTCTGTAACTCTTTTAAATAAATAAATAAACCTTAAAAAATAAAAATAAATGTTGCCCTTTGCCAAGAGGCTTCTTTGGGATCACATATATTCAGGGTATATGAAAACATCATATTTAGAACTCCAGATTGATGACCTTTTTTTTTTTTTTTTAAAAAAAAAAAAGATTTATTTATTTATTTGAAAGGCAAAGTTACAGAGAGGCAGAGGGAGAGAGAGAGAGAGAGAAAGAAAGATCTTCCACCCACTGGTTCACGCCCCAAATGGCCAAAATGACTGGAACTGAGCCAATCTGAAGCTAGGAGCCAGGAATTTATTCAGGTCTCCCACATGGGTGCAGAGGCCCAAGCACTTGGGCCATCTTCTGCTGCTTTCCTAGGTTCATTAGTAGGGAGCTGGATGGGAACTGGAGCAGCCAGGGCTCAAACCGGTGCTCATATGGGATGCCGGCACTGCAGGTGGAGGCTTTACCTGCTACACCACAGAGCCAGTCCTGATCATTGGGCTTTTAACTTCTGAATGCTCTAAGGAAAGGTCCCCATTCGCAGATACCATGTTTCATTGTTAGAGCGCTACATTTTTATTTATTTAATTTTTAAAAATTTTTATTTATTTGACAGATAGAGTTAGACAGTGAGAGACAGAGAGAAAGGTCTTCCTTCCATTGGTTCACCCCCCAAATGGCTGCTAGGGCCAGAGCTATGCTGGTCAGAAGCCAGGAGCCAGGTGCTTCCTCCTGTTCTCCCACATGGGTGCAGGCACCCAAGCACTTGGGCCATCCTCCACTGCCTTCCCAGGCCACAACAGAGAGCTGGACTGGAAGAGGAGCAGCCGGGACTAGAACCGGCGCCCATATGGGATGCCGGCACCCCAGGTGGAAGATTAACCAAGTGAGCCACGGCACCAGCCCGATTTATTTTTAAATACTTTTCTTTGTTTTATTTGAAAGTCAGAGTTCCACAGAGAGAGAGAGTGATCTTCCATCCACTGGTTCACCTCCCAGATATCCTCAGTGGCCAGCCCTGGGCCAGGCCAAAGCCAGGAGCTTCATATGGGTCTCACATGTGGGTGGCAAACACTTAGGCCATCTTTCGCTGCTTTTCTCAGACCATTAGCAAGGAGCTGGATTTGAAGTGGAGCAACCAGGATATAAACATCCCATATGGGATGCCGGCATCACAGGTGGCAGCTTTCTTGCTGCGCCACAATGCTGCGGCCCCTACATTTTTATTCTTAAATGTTTATTTTGAAAGGCAGAGTGACAGAGAGAGAGAGGGAGCTCCACCTACTCTTTTACTTCCCAAATGCCCACGATAGCTGGAACCTGGCCAGTCAAAGCCATGAGTCCAGAATTCAATCCACATCTCTCATGTGGGTAACAGGGGCCCAAACACTTGAGCCATCATCTGCTGCTTCCCAGTATGCATTAGCCAGAAGCTGGATCAGAAGTGGAGTAGCTGGGCCTTGAACCAGGCACTCTGATATGGGATCTGGGCATTCCAAACAACAGCTATACCCCAGTATCATAACTTCCATCCCAGGGGGGCTCTACTTTTAGAACATTCTTTACATTGTGCAGAAGCTCTTTAGTTCTGTCATCTAAAGCCACAGTAAATAAACCCGATTCCTTGTCTACACGCAGACTTCGCATGTTTGATGATATATATGCCCCATTAAACCACTAAGTCCTGGGGTCAGTGTCTGGCCACAGTAGGTGAAACCACTGCTTGCAGTGCCAGCTTCCCATTTTAGAGTGCCGGTTCAAGGCCCGGCTACTCTACTTCCAATCCAAATTCTTGCTAATGTGCCTGGGAGGGCAGCAGGATATGGCACAAATGTTTGGGCCCCTGACACCCATGTGGGAGACTAGGATGGAATTCTTGGTTCCTGGCTGTTGTCTGGTATTTTGAAGTATGTTGGGAACATTTGGAGTATGAACCAGTGAATGAAAGATCTGTCACTCTGCCTTTCAAACTAATACATTTTTAAAAATCAGTCCAAGGTTTTAAATTCTGTGAATA